CATATCTTGCAAGCAGAATCACTGACTGTTCTTTGTTTCACACTATCTTTTCAAGGATGTTTATATAACAAATAGTCTAGGAAGATAGAGATAGCGTTTTCCTATGGAGAAAAAGGTAGGTGTGCTTACTGTGCATGATAAAATATTTGGGTTCCTTCTCTGTAATGCAAACCCCAGTGTTGTGCTAACACACATCTGGGTCCATCTACACAGGCCCCACAGGAATTGGGGGTAAGGTGAGCTGATGCAAACATGCTGATGTGCTCATGTGGCTTACTCTGCTGTGAGTTAAGTCCGTTGTCTCTGACCCGTGAATCTTATGTCTTCAGCTGAGAAACTATGGCAGGCTAACTTTAAGAAGCTTGCAAGTAGGGTAAAATCTCAGAGCTTTCACGTTCTTGACATTACCCACCTCAAAAATATGAAAGGCTTCCTTGCAGCCTCATGCAGAAGTAGCCATAGCCAAATCTTTTCTAGAGTCTTTAAGTCTTTTTTTCTTCTTACTAGACAATGTGTTCTGCATTCCCCTAGCCCTTAGATTAACCCTTTTTGAGGAAATTTGAAACAATAGGCTCTGTGGGAAGAGATCTTTAAGTTGGTCTTTATCAATGTATTTCTTTATTATGTATTTCTGGCTGAGAACTTCTAAAGGAAGAGTCTTCAGAAAGGCCTAAGGCTCTGTTTTTGTCCACTTGCTGCAGTCAGCCTTGCCAGTGTCAGCCCAGGGGGTATAAACTGGCTTTTCAACCTGAAGGGCTCCAGAGCATAGAGCTCTCAGTCAGTTGAGATTGGAGGCTACAAGCACAATGGCTCTCAGCCTAGCTGTATGTATACTATCCATCTTTGCTTACAAGGTAGTCAACTCTAGTCTGAATTTACTTCTACCTTTTGGAACTTTGCTGAAAGTGGCAAGAAGTAACCAGGATCTGTTAACATAAATTATATCTACCCTTTCCCCTAACAACAACATGGATTCTATTCAAAGAAACAAAAGGAGACAGTTTTCCATGGAGAATGTTTTGACATCATATAACAAGGGTCATGCTCTTTCTAGCTTATGAAATCTGTGTCCTCATTGTCTAAGCCATACTTCTTTCATTATGCCAACGCAATATTTTAGGTTTTATTACTTGAAGCACTCCACTGCTGGTACCAAATCTGTTCTATTAGGTTGGCTGAAACTAACAAAATAAAATCAACATATAGTGGCTTAGACAAATAAGGAGTATTTTCCTTGCAAAAGTAGAAATCTAGAGGTAAATTCTTTGGGGATGAAAGGGTGGTTCCCTAATGAACCAGGACCCAGGTTTCTTTTAGCTTTCAACTCCATCCCCTTACCTTGTGGAATTCATTTTCAGCTTGTTGCCTTGAGGTTGAAAAATGGCTGTCCCACCTCCAACTTTGCATCTACATCCACGGTAGAAACAAGGGAAAAGGCAAAAGGATAAAGGCTCCTGCAAGTTAAGTTAGCCTCCATTTAAAGAACTTTGCAGAAAGTCCCATATAGTAATTTCCTGTCAGCTTATCAGCAAAAGATGCCACATCCCCACTCTCAACTGTAGAAAAGGCTGGGAAATGTAATTCTTTTAGTTAGGCAAGATGCCACCCTGAACAAAAGCAGGGTTCTGCTAGTAAAGTAAAAGGAGAGAACATATATTGGATAAGTTGCCAGCAGTGCCTGCTACAGCAATTAATTGAAATTTTAAAAAAATGTTATACAGGGGCCGGCCCGGTGGTGCACTCAGCAGAGTGCGGCGCTTGGCAGTGCGGCGGCGCTCCCGCCGAGGGTTCGGATCCTATATAGAGACGGTCAGCTCACTGGTTGAGCGCGGTGCGGGTGCGACACCAAGTGGCCCGGTGGCACACTCAGCAGAGTGCAGCGCTTGGCAGTGCGGCGGCGCTCCCGCCGAGGGTTCGGATCCTATATAGAGACGGTCAGCTCGGCCCGGTGGTGCACTCAGCAGAGTGCGGCGCTTGGCAGTGCGGCGGCGCTCCCGCCGAGGGTTCGGATCCTATATAGAGACGGTCAGCTCACTGGTTGAGCGCGGTGCGGGTGCGACACCAAGGGTTGCGATCCCATTACCAGTCACGAAAAAAGACAAAAAGGAAAAAAAAATGTTATACAGGACAAATAAAATATATCTTTAGGCTATGACTGTTCTGAAGGTCTTCTGAGCACAGTCTCAGAGAATGAGCAGTAGCAAGACGGTGAAAGTGGAAGTAGGGGGAACAGTTAGGAGAAGACTCCAACAGTTCAGACTAGATGAGGAGGGTCTGAACACTAGTGAGAATGAAAAGGATAGTACTGCTCAGTGTTAAGAAAAATGGTCCCTCCCTACTCCTCACGTCTCCTTCCAGTGGAGGGAGCTTTACCGAGTGTCCATTTTGACCTTCAGGTCTCTCCATATATTTATCTCACACTGCCCAGCGGCGAAGTAGAGTGATTTATCAAGTTGGTACATGTGGGCAGAGTAATGAGGGAGGCTCATTGAAGGTTTGCCATTTTCCACTAGGGAGGGGCCTTCCGTGAAGACCAGCCTTGTGCTGGGAACTGGAGGTTTACCTGGCTCTGCAGAGCGGGGAGTCAGCCTGGCTCTGCCTTTTTTTTCTTCTTGGGCAAGCTGGCCACAGAGAACATGAGGTCTGTGCTCCTCCAAGGTGTGAGTCTTTCCGTACCAGAGGTTTCCCTATCTAGCCTTTCTAGATTCTGGGATTGAGGATTATTGGCATATATCATTAACAGGTCAAAAGCCATAGCATATAACCTAGCCTCTATCCATAATGAAGATGCTATTTGTCCCCCATCAGCCTCTCCTGTGCACTTTTTTATTGCTTTTTAAAAAGAATTGCATTGACATAATTCACTTGCCACACAATTTACTCATTTAAAGTTTACAATGCAATGGTTTTCAGGATATTCACACAGTTTGCAACCATGTCCACAATCAGTTTGAGAACATTTTCATCTCTCCATAAAGAAACCTCTTACCCTTTTGTCATCACTCCCCATTCTTGTCCCTCAGACATTTCCCCACCATTTCTGTCAAATGGGATCAAACACTATGTGTTGTTTCTGGCTTTTGCCACTTAGCATAATATTTTTAAGTTTCATTCATGTTGTAGCATGCACCAGTCCTTCATTCCTTTTTATTGTCAAATAATATTCCCTTGTAAAAATATACCACATTTTGTTTATCCACTCATCAGGTGATGGACATTGGGCTATTATAAACGTTTTGGCTATTATGAATAATGCTGCTATGGACATTCATGTACGTGTTTTTGCATGGACATATATTTTCAATTCTCTTGGATATATACCTAGGAGTGGAATTGCTGGGTCATACAACTCTATGTTTAGCCTTTTGAAAAACTGCCAGACTGTTTTCCAAAGTGGCTGCACCATTTTACATTCCCCCCATTGGGGTAAAGGGTCCCAAATTCTCCACATCTTCATCAGCACTTTCTATCATCTGTCTTTTTTATTAGAGCCACTCTAGAGGGAATGAAGTGGTATCTCACTGTGATTTTTCATTTGTATTTCCCTGCTGGCTAATGAATGCCCTTTTTATTTATTTTATTTATTTATTTTTTTCCTTTTTGTCTTTTTTCGTGACCGGTAATGGGATCGCAACCCTCGGTGTCGCCCTTTTTATTTATTTTATTTATTTATTTTTTTCCTTTTTGTCTTTTTTCGTGACCGGTAATGGGATCGCAACCCTCGGTGTCGCCCTTTTTATTTATTTTATTTATTTATTTTTTTCCTTTTTGTCTTTTTTCGTGACCGGTAATGGGATCGCAACCCTCGGTGTCGCGCCCGCACCGCGCTCAACCAGTGAGCAGACCGGTCTCTATATGGGATCCGAACCCTCGGTGGGAGGGCTGCTGCACTCCAAGCGCCGCACTCTACTGAGTGCGCCACCGGGCCAGCCCTGAATGCCCTTTTTATTTTGGCCTGGATAATGGTTTCATGTATGTTGTTCACTGTTATAACTCATCAACGTGTACACTTACTATTTGTGCATTTTTCTGAACATAAGTTATACTTAAATACAAAAGTTTATTTTAAAAGTACATATTCTACATTAAATAAAGAATTCTTACAATGTTGAAAATAAAATCACCAGCAACAAAAAAGAAGAGACAGGAGCAGCAGCTAGACACACATGGATAGAAATCTTTGCTTACTGATGCTCTGTGTCTCCTGGAGCTGCCTAACTCTTCTGAGCCTTTGTTGCTTCATCTTTAAGTAAAATAATAATAATATTTCACAGGATTGTGGTTAGTATGGCTCACATAGGATGAAGTTCAAAATAATAAGATTTTCCTCCTAAAACATAAAAATTAACAGCTCATAAAACTACTCTTGCATTTGCACTGTTTGCAGTTGGTAAGCCTCTTGATTAGTGCATTAACTTTTTTCTCTCTGGTATAACATGCCTTCCTGAAGTCATTTTAAAAACAAATCATGAACGTGTCTTCCTTGGATTCAACAGATGTATGAATGTTTCAATAACTGGCTATGTCACATGAAGGTAAGAGGTTAACCTTATGAATTTTCTCTTACTACAAAAACTAATAGGAAGATTAACGCTTTCTAATAGTCAAAGGGTTCGAGATTTAAGATACTGCATTAGTTCTACTGTTGGATCTACAGCTCAGGTGCAATATATTTTAGAAAGGCACCAAGCAACTGGTTTAAACATTATTTGTTTCACCTGTAAAGCCACTATAATCATATGTTGCATCAGTAGTATAAAATTTAATTATTGGCTATAATTCCCTGAGATCCTAAGATGATAGTAGCTTTGTAAATTCAGTGTTACATCACAACAGCTTAGAGATTCCAAGGTTCCCACCATAAGTAGCATTATAAAAATTTAACTTGCATTTACATAAACCTTTTATTTACAAAATTACAACTTTAGATTTCAAACTTTTCTCTGTTTCAATCAAGATTAGGTTCATCTGTGTTAAGAGAAAACCAAAATAATAGTGCATTAAATAAGATGGAGGTTTATTTTTCTCTTATGTAAACACAAGTCTAAAGGTAGGCAGTCACTTGCTGGTACCACATCTTCCTGATGTCATCAGCGATATGGGCTCCTTCCATCTTTCCTCTACACCATCATGGCTTAAATCTTCCAGGCCATGTCTTGGTTTTAGTTTGGTTGCTGCAGCTACCACGTCAAGTTCCTGTTTTAGGCAGCAAAAAGGAGGAAGGGGCAAAGACAAGAGAGTCAGCTTTCAGGCTGTTAGCTCCTTTTAAAGAGCTTTCCCAGAAGGCCCTCTCAAAATTTTCATTTACATCTCATATGGCTATAATAAAACTGATAAATTTGGTTTTATAGCAGGGCACATTGCTACACCTACACCTACACCTTTGTTCTGCTACTAAGGAATAAGAGGATGGGTATCAGGTTGACAAGTTGCAGTCTTTGACACAATTTTACAAATTCTTTACCATGTCTTTCTAGAATGTTGTATCATTCATTTTTATTCAAAATTAAAATTTGTTATTCAAAATCAAAATTTAAAGCAATTACCATAGATTTGTTACAGATCTATTTAGTGAGTTAACTTTTAGGATATAATTCATGAATACAACAAATACTTATTCCATCTTCTTTGTATTGGGCACTTTGATAAGGGATGGGATACAATAATGACACATCCCCCACCTTTTAAGAGCTCACAATTCATTGATTCAGTAAATATATGATGTACTAATTATTATAAGTGATGCCCATTTGAAATTGGTTACCCTCTATATATAGCATTAGTACTAAGGTAATCCACTACATGTACCATTTTAACATAAAAACATACTTTTATTTATCACATGAATAATTTTACAGTTTTGAGATGCCTGATACAGACTTGAAGACAAATTTTAGATATCGGTAGCATACAAAACATTCTCTTTGCAAAAAATCCAAGTTTTGGTCCAATAATAAAATTTCAAGTCAATATATTAATATGGCCTTTGCAAATAGAATAAAAAATATGGCTAAACCCAGGTTTCCCAGAAATTTAGTCAGAAAGAACAAGAGAATAACAGAAAAGAGACAAATTTAACAATACACATAAATATTTGGTTGTATTTTTCAGGTAAAAAATCAGCTAAAGGAATTTTGTCTTGCAGAAGATTGGGACTTTGTTCAACTTCCTGGTAATTCCTTTTTGGAAAGTTCCCAGGCTTATTTTTAAGAAACTCTAAAAAATATGATACAATAACAACAGGTTGCTATCATGGTGGTATAAATGGTAACTCTTATTTTATTACCTTTAACACACTAGTGACCTATGTTTTGGGCATATGATCAAGTTGAAATTGCCCAGCTCTAATTTCAACTGGCTCCAAATTTCTTTATTGGAAACATTTAAAACTTTTCATGCCATATACAGTAGAACAGACAATATTTCTTTGACTTCTTGCCTGAGTTAAGGGAGATTTAAGCAAAAAAGAAAAAAAAATTGACCACAGAACGTTCATTCTATTTTATAAAAACAAAGCTTAAAATTTTTTGATTCATTGAAGAATCAATTTGACCTCTGATATCATCAGAAACGAACACAAAGCATAAGAATACGGAATATACATCTTTCCCTATGGGTTGGCCCCTATGTCCCACTCGGGAGTGGTTCCCCTACCCAGAAGCTATTTAGAATGGAACCCAATTACCTGAGTTCTGAGAATTCAGACAAAAGTTTAGAAAAACAGATTTCAGGCTGGGGCACATAGCATTCTTATCCCCATTCAAGATGTATCCCTTAATTTTGTTCTCTCTGGTTTCCCAGGTTCCTAGCACAGTGCCCGGCACATAACAGAGAATTTTTGGGTGAATGAATAAAAGTTTAAAATATCAGATAATTTTGTTCATATCCTTTCACCACCTCCCTTTCAAGAATTTCCCTGGAACGAATGTTCTTTTACTTCAGAAGAACCATAGAATGAAGAAAAATACTAAAAAGGAGAAGGCTTTTAAATATTCAGTGAAATAGTATATGTATTTTTCAGTTTGTATTCCTAGAACTTTGCAATAATAAGGTCTTTGGGGGAGAAGCTCAGGGATTATTCCTTCACTGCCAACAGATATTTCATGACTGTCTGCTTGTTGCTTTCATGCAAGAATAAATCCTTCTAAGTTCAGTCCAGTCAGATGTTTGTGTCCTCCCCCCATCTACTTTTTTTTTTTTTTTTTTTTTTTTTTTTTTTTTCCCGGGATTTTTTTAATTTTTTTTTTTTTGGGGGATTTTTTTTTTTCTAGAACTTTGCAATAATAAGGTCTTTGGGGGAGAAGCTCAGGGATTATTCCTTCACTGCCAACAGATATTTCATGACTGTCTGCTTGTTGCTTTCATGCAAGAATAAATCCTTCTAAGTTCAGTCCAGTCAGATGTTTGTGTCCCCCCCCCATCTTCTTTTTTTTTTTTTTTTTTTTTTGCTGTACCTGGCATTTTTTAAATCTGTTTTTTTTTAGAGGAATTTATTTTTTAATGGAAACATATTGATTGTACATATTCATGGGGTGCCATTATATTTCAATACATGTATACAATGTGTGATGGTCAAATGAAGGTAGTTAGCATGTTTATCATTGCAAAAATGTATCATCTTTTTGTGATGAGAACATTTGAGCTCCTCTCTTCTAGCCTGGCATTTTTATATTGAGGTATAATTATGATATCAATAAACTTCAGATTTTTTTAAGTGTACAATAAATTATATATGTATTATACACAACCGTGACACAATTACAGTCAAAATAATGAACATATCCATAACCCTCCAAAGTTTTCTCATGCCCTTCTGCAAACCATCGCTCCCTCCTCCTTGCCCAGTTCCTCTCCCTCAGGCAACAACCCTACAGTGCTGCCACTAGCAATTAGTTTGTATTTTCTACAGTTTTATATAAATGGAATCATACAGTGTGTCTAGCTTCTTCAGTGCAGCAGAATTATTTTGAGATTCATTCATGTTATTACATGTATCAATAGACCACCCTTTTTTTTTACTGCAGAGTTGATACATAACAACTTGTTTATGTATTCCATGCACCTGTTGATGAACATTTGGGTTGTTTCTCCTTTTTTTAGCTGTTAAAAATAAAGCTTCTGCCTTTTTGAAAAATAGCTTCTCTAAAAGCTAAACATAAAGTTAGCATACGACCCAGCAATTCCACTGTTAGGTACATACCCAAGAGAAATATTAACATATGTACACACAAAATCTTGTGCACAAATGTTAGAAGCATTATTCATAATAGCCAAAAAATGGAAACAACCCAAATGTCCAGCAGCTGATGAGTGGATAAATAAAATGTGGCATATCCGTCACAATGGAATATTAACAAGCAATTGGAAAGAAGGACTGATACATGCTATAACATAGATAAGCCTTGAAAACATTATGCTGAATGAAAGAAGCCAGACATAGAGGGCCATATATTTTATAATTCAACTTATATGAAATGTCCAGAAAAGGCAAATTCATAGCTATAGAAAACGTAGTGGTTGCCACGGGCTTGGGGGGGCGGGTTAAGGGAAGGGGAGTGATTGCTAATGGGTACACAGTTTCTTTTTGGGGTGACGACAACATTCTAAAATTAGATGTGGTGATGTTTGCACAACTCTGTGAAAATATCTAAAAACTACTGAATTGTATACTTTAAAAGGGTGATTTTTATGATATGGAATTTTAATTCAGTAAAGCTATTATTTTTAAAAGCTGCAATGAACATTCATGTACACAGCTTTGTATGAAAATACACTTCCATTTCTCTCGGATAAATAACTTAGTAGTAGAATGGCTGGGTCATATGATAGTGTATGTTGGACTTTTTAAGAAACTGCCACTCTTGGTCAAAGTGACTGTACCATTTTACATTTTCTAGCATCAGTATATGAGAGATCCAGTACCCACACATACCCACCAACACTTGGTGTGGCCATTCTTTTAATTTTAGACATTCTAGTAGGTATGTAGAGCTGATTATAGTAGTAATTCACATTTCCCTAATGATTAATGATATTGGTTTCTTCCCTTGTGCTGATTGGATATCTGTACACATTCTTTGGTGAAATTTAAATCTTTTGCCCACTTTTTAATTGGGTTGCTTGTTTTCTTATTACTGAGTGTTGAAAGTTTGGGGTTTTTTTTGTTTGTTTGTTTTGTTTTTTTGTGTGACCAGTAAGGGGATCACAACCCTTGGCTTGGCGTCGCCCACACCGCGCTCAGCCAGTGAGCACACCGGCCATCCCTATATAGGATCTGAACCTGCGGCGGGATTTTTTTTGTTTGTTTGTTTTGTTTTTTTGTGTGACCAGTAAGGGGATCGCAACCCTTGGCTTGGCGTCGCCCGCACCGCGCTCAGCCAGTGAGCACACCGGCCATCCCTATATAGGATCTGAACCTGCGGCGGGAGCACCGCTGCACCCAAGTGCCGCACTCTCCCGAGTGTGCCACGGGGCCAGTCCGAAAGTTTTTTTTAATACATTCTGGAAACAAGTCCTTTTCAGATATGTGGTTTGCCAATATTTTCTCCCAGTCTACTTCTTCATTTTCTTAGCAGTGTCTTTCAAAGAGCAGAAGTTCTTAATTCTGATGACATCCAATTTACCAGTTTTTTAATTCACAGATCATGCTTTCAGAGATGTAGAGTCATGTGTCACTTAAGAATAGGGATACGTTCTGAGAAATGCGTTGTTAGGCAATTTCATCCTTCTGCCAATATCATAGAGTACACTTACACAAACATACATGGTAGAGCCTACTACACACCTAGGCTATATAATATAGCCATTATAATCTTAAAGGACCACTGACTGAGACATCATTATGAGGTGCATGACTATCTCTAAAAATTTTTACCTAACCCCAGGTCATGAAATTTTTCTTCTGTGTTTTTCCCTAGAAGTTTAACAGTTTTAGATTTTACATTTAGGTCTAAAATCCATTTTAAGTTAATTTTTCCATATGGTACAAAGTATAGACTGTTTAACTTTTCTCACATATGGATATCCAATTGATGAAAACTACATTGCCTTTCCATCTTGGTCAAAAATTAATTGACCGTATATTTATGAGTCTATCTCTAGGCTCTGTATTCTGTTCCTTTGACCTATTTGTCTGTCTTGATGCCAATACCACACTGTCTTGATTACCATTACCATTTTACATTCCTACCAGCAATTTATTAGAGCTCCAGTTGCTCAATATCCTTGTTAGCACTTGCAATTGCCAGTTAAAAAAATCTGTTTTAGCTATTATAATAAGTGCTAGTGGTATCTCAAAATGATTTGAATTTGTGCTAAAATTGGGTATTTTTTACTACTGAGTTTCCCATTATTTTTTCTTAATCTAATTTTCCTTAGTTTCCTAAACAAAAACAATAAGAATCTTAGGTGTGTATCAAAGCCTCTATATTAGTCAGTTTGGGTGCTTATAACAAAATACTTGGAACTGTATTTTATAAAGAAAATAAAATTTATTGCTTACAATTTCAGAGGCTGGGAAGTCCAAAGTCCAGGAAATACATTTGGTGAAGGCCTTGGTAGTGGCAACAGTGACTAGAGGTCTCACATGGCAGAAAATGGTGGAGAAGAGAGAGACTCTCATGTGCTCTCCTTTTAAAGCCCTCAGAATCACACTCCTGATCACCATTATTTATTCATTCACTACCAAATGGTCCTACAATCTAATCCCCTCTTGGAGGGCCCACTTTTCAATTACCATTATAGGATTTCCCACCCTCAACAGTTACAGTGGGAACTAAGCTTCTAATATATGGACCTTGGGGGACACAATTCAGTCAATCAACAGCAGCCTCCTCATGTTTTCTTGCACTTTCAGATAAGAAGGAAGCTTGCAATTACTGCAAGTAGATAGTTTGCCCCAGAATATTAGAAGGCATTGGCTTGAGTTCAGGCCTAAACTCTGGAGTCACCTTGACTTCCTCTCACACCCCATATCTGATCTGTCAGTAAATAGTATCAGTTTTATCATTAAAACACCCAAAATTCAATCAATTATTCACCACCTCTTGCCTGGCTATCTGCAATACCTTCCTAACTGGTCTCCCTACTTTGGCCCTTAGCCAACTTAAGTCAATTTGCAACACACCTGTAAGTGATCTTTTACCAGACCATTCCTTCACTCAAAAAAGTTAAGTTTGATCTCCACTCTTCTGCTCAAAACCTGTTGGAGGTTTCTCAATGCATTAACAGTCAAAGCCAAGATTGTTACTATGGCCTATAAGATCGCATCTGAACTGGCCACGCTATCTCATCTCCTATTTCTCCCCTCTTACTCAAATCCAGCCCACAAGCCTCCTTCCCCTGCTGTTCTGCATGAAAAGCTTTCTCCTCAGATTTCTTCATTGATACTCTCCTCATTTCCTTCAAGTCCCAAAATCATTTGAGCTGTTTTCTTCGGTCACTCCATCTAAAAAGGCACGTACACGCACTCACACACCATCCTTTTTCTCTGTTTTTGTCTTCTTAGTAGTGCTGCTTAACATGTTCCATACAGTAATTATTTAATAATAGCTTACACATACAGCGCTCACCATGTTCTAAGTGCTTTATATATTAATTTAGTTAATACTCATGACAACACTATGAGGTAAGTATTTAACGATTTTTGTTATTCCAAGAGGAAACAGAAACCCAGAGATTAAGCAATTGCCCCAAAAAACACGTCCATGCTCACCATGTTCTAAGTGCTTTATATATTAATTTAGTTAATACTCATGACAACACTATGAGGTAAGTATTTAACGATTCTTGTTATTCCAAGAGGAAACAGAAACCCAGAGATTAAGCAATTGCCCCAAAAAACACGTCCATCCAACAGTGCAGCCAGGAATCCATCCCAAGGATCTGACTCTGGAGTCCATGCACCGTAAAACACGATGCCATCCAGGACTGCTTTTCTAATTACTTTTTTTTTTAAAGATGACCGGTAAGGGGATCTTAACCCTTGACTTGGTGTTGTCAGCACCACTCTCCCAAGTGAGCTAACCGGCCATCCCTATATGGGATCCGAACTCGTAGCCTTGGTGTTGTCAGCACCACACTCTCCCAAGTGAGCCACGGGCCGACCCCTCTAATTACTTTTTAATGTTGATGTTCTGTGTACCCCACTGCAAAGTAAGCCGCGTGCAGGAGCTACCTTTGAAAACTACTGTTATCCCCAGCGCAGGGAACCCTGTCTGCCAGCAGGTTCCTCAATAAAGGCTGAAAAGTGAGCTTAATCATAACAAGAAAAACAAAATTGTCGGGGTCAGCAGCAAAAGCATACCTGGCGGGCCCTTTCGGGATTACCAAGAGCGGGCTGGGCTGGGTGGTGTGTACAGGAAGGAAGGCCCCACAGTTGCTCGGAGCAACGCTCATGCTTTCGGAAGTGCGCCTAAGAGAGTGGCAAGCAGAAGGGCGCAAGGCTAGAAAACAACTGCTCTGAGCATGAGTAATTTTCGCTGAAGGAACGGACTGAAAGTATCAGGGGCAAGGTGGATTCAGGAAGGTGAGAGCTCTGGAGAGATAATAGGACACTCAGCGACATGATCTCAGAACTAGAAGCCGCGAAAGGACTCGCAGGGAGGTTGCCCGGGAGGCCCCGCCCACGAGACCCCTCACCCGAGCGCGCCCGCCCCGCCCCCAGCCGCGGCCAGAGCGCGCGGTGGAATTGGCCTCCGTGGCCTCGCCCGTCCCGGTGGCCCCGCCCCGCCAGGACCCGCGCGGGTGACCCGGAAGCGGTTGTTCGGACCCGCCGCGCGACTCGACTCTCTTTTCCGGTTGGCGTGGTTTGTGAGGGCAGCGTCCGCTGTTCCTGGGCCTTCACCATGAGCGTCCCGGCCTTCATCGACATCAGTGAGGAAGACCAGGTGTGCTCCCGGGCCGCCAGGGTAGGGTGGGGGACAGTTCAGGGGCGTGAGGGACGCGACGCCGCCTTGCGGAGCCCTCTCCGGGGCTGAGACCGGCGGCTTGACCCACACGCGGGAGTGGGGAGGCCGTGTGGCAGGGGCTCGCGTTCCTGGCCTGAAGTAGCACCAGGCCGCCGGCGGGCGGTCCCGGAGTGGGACGACGCTCCATGGCCGGTTTCCTGGACGGGGTCGGGACTGTGACAGCCTGTAGTCACTTCTGACGACCTAGTACTTTTTGACTGATTAGGACTGGTGTCTGCTTCCGTCCCCCAAGTGCAGCCACATCCGGAGTGGGAGGTGGCGGATCTGTAGTTGGCATAAGCAATCTAGGGAAAAGTAGTTTTGAACTGAAGATCGAAATGGCTTTATTGTTGTACGATCACAAAGGCGAAGGTGACCCTTATTTTTCATGTAGACCGTGTTTTCTGGTCCTGCTTGTGCAAGGGTGAGTTGTTCTGTAACCCGAAAATACGGTGTCCGTTCCACCATCATATAATGTGAGGCATACACGTGGTGGACCGTACTGATATTCCCTGTTTGGGGTTTGCTCTTTGGTATGAAGGGCTGATATTTCTCGTTTTCCCCATATCAAAAGTTTAAATTTAATTGGGAGTTAAAGTAAACCTGAAATGATATTCTTTAGGTTAATTTTGTATAACCGAAGACTGTTCTGTGAAGTCCTCAGTTTCTGCTACTCCACGAACATGGAAATTTTGGTTTCAGTATCTTTACCAGCCTAAGATAACTTCTAGAATTGCAGATGTGATTTCCCCCCTACGCTAGACATGCAGTTTTGCAGCCCTGAGGAGCAAAGAAAGAAGGGGAAATGAAAAAGGAAAATAAAGGTCAAGGATAGGGCAAGGGAGAGTTGAGCACAGATAGAAAAGATGTGGAAGACAAAAAAGAACTGATTAGGAATGGAAGCATGTTACCAGCAAGTAGTGTTAGGTTACTGAAAAAGTAATTTTTTTTTAACATAACAAAAGTATTTGTGGGTGGAGGAAGTTCTTGTTATTGATCATGTTTTAAACTCATTCCTCAGGTTATGCTACTTTTCTTGTACATTAGTTTCACACTAGCCGTTCTTTTCAGGGAGATATGTGATTGTTTCAGGAGTTTAACTTTGGTCAAATTCTCAGTTTGATTACAGTTAAGAAATGGAGCTCTTAGTCCTTGTTTTATTTTCCTTTGTACTATGGCTCTGCAACCCTTTATGACATAGACACAGTAAACTGTTGATTGAATATTTCCCTTTTTTTGGTGGTTGGCCGGTAAGGGAATCCAAACCCTAACTTTGGTGTTAATTTGTTGAATAGTTCTTAGAAAAAGTTTGCTTTGTATCTGCAAATCAGAAAGTGAACAAATGCCTTTTTTCGTGGTTGGACCATATTATGTGTTTTCTTCATATATGTGTTTTCTTTCACATATTATGTGTTTTCTTCATGTTTTTCCAGTGGTATTTTTGGTTCTCTGGTGACAGTTCTTTTGTGAAATGTTGTTTATTACACCAACAGTTGTATGAAGTTACTGTGTTCTTGGATAGCACCATCAGATCTACAGGTTTAATACACTTTTCTGAGGTAGCTATTGGGATGGCCTTCAAGAGTTTTTTTGGTTTGGACTGGAAAATGTGATGATACCTGTGCATTTACTGATGGTATCCTTTCATCTGCCTGCTTCAGTTCTTTATTACCTTTAAAACTATCTGCATTCATTTGTGGCTGTCATAAATAACAAGCCCTCAAAATAAAAAGTTATTAAATATTACATGTAGGCATTCAGGTAGGAAATGTCCAAATGACTGAATGCAGTATTTTAGTTGTGTTTATAGGTCCAAAGGTGTTTTGTGACCCAGATAAGCATTTTGCATTTTAAAAAATAAGTTATATAGTAGATCCAATTTGATATAAATATTTTATTTAAGGCAGCATTCACAGGCATTATCTTTTTATCTTTATCTCTCAAAATGTTTGTCTCAAATAGGTTCTCAAAAACTTAATTAACAAATAATTACCCTCTTGCTAAGGTAATGTCTAACTTCTAGTCGATGTGTGTATATATACACTTGAGCAATAAAATTTTCATTTATCTCGAGAAAAGTTGAATTTACCAAGTCAGATTGATTTCTTCTTCCCAGTATACTCCCCCCCCCCCCAAAAAAAAAAAAAAAAAACCTTTTGGGTTGTATTAGAAAGGTTTTTGCTATATACTTGGAAGTCCATCAGGACACAGGTGACACGAGAAAAATTCTGAAGGTGGTCCATGTGGGCTGTAGTGTGTCTGTGGAGTCATCGGGCCTTGTGGAAGAAAACGTGGCTCCTGTGGGGTTGTCATAATGAATGAGCTGGGGGAGGAGCCCTTCAACATAATTTGAAGTAGTTGTTAAATACAGTATTTCCATTTTATTTTTTCAGAAATAGTACAGAATCTCATGGTTTGAGATTTTGTGTTTTGTCTCTCAGTTTTATAGCAAGCTTATTTAATTCAACAGGCTGCTGAGCTTCGTGCTTATCTGAAATCTAAAGGAGCTGAGATCTCAGAAGAGAACTCAGAAAGTGGACTTCATGTGGACTTAGCTCAAATTATTGAAGCCTGTGATGTGTGTCTGAAGGAAGATGACAAAGGTTTGTTTTTAATTTTATCTAATATTTTTTACTAATCATAAAATAACCTACTTTTAAATTTTTCTTGTGAATTGTATTTGTATGTTTTATTAGTCCGTTTCTGTTGCTTACAACAAAATATACAGAACTGGGTAATTTGTAAGAAAACCAAATTTATTGCTTACAGTTTCAGAGGCTGGGAAGTACAGTGTCCAGGGAACACATTTCGTGAAGGCTTTGGTGGCGGCCACAGTGACCCAGGGGTCTCACATGGCAGAAAATGGTGGAGCAGAGAGAGACTAACCTCCTCATTCACTCTCCTTTTAAATCCCAAACCATGCCCATGACCACCATTTTTAATCCATTCACTACAGCATTGTCCTACCATCTAATCACCTCTTCAAGGCCCCACCTTTGAATTACCATAATAGGATTTCCACCCTCTTAACACTGTCACAGTGGGGATCAAGTTTTGGGGGACACTCAATCCAAGGCATATGTTTTGTATTGCAAATCTTAAAAGACTGTTAAGCACTGTGTTTTTAATCTTTTCTTTGAACCTGCTTTCAGTTTCTGTTATACCTAAAAGTAAGCCTGTTTTGAGAAAACATCTTTTAACGTCAGGTATATTTCTTGAGTGTATTTACACATAGTAAATGCTGGTGATTTCAGAATGAACAGAAGAAAAAAAAAATGAAGCTTTTTCCTGTTCATAAGGTTTAAATTAATAGTAAATGGGGTATAATTTTAAGTTACCTAAATGCCATTTAGTTATTAGGCTGATTGCCTATTTGTTGAGATAAAATGGGAAAAGATGAAAATTGTGAGTGAGTCCAGAAATCTTTGGTTAACTAAGGCTTAGAGATTAAACTAAACTTGGTATATGATTAATATCTATAATACTTGAAAATAATTGACCCAACCTGAAAGTTGACGACTTTGATTTCTAAAATTTTCTAGATATATATACAAAGTTTTCCTCAGTTGAGAAAATATCCTAGCCTAAAACTTAACCAGTAACTTCCAACTGAGTGAATATCAATGCCAGTAAAAATTGAAAGCATGTATATGTAGACATGTAAATTAATCATCTGTATTACTGGTTAGAAACCAACTCTTAGATAACAATTTCCTTCTTCTAGTAAGATGTATAAGTTGATTTCTTAATGCTACCTATGCTGCAGAGCTAGTTTAGTTTTATTCACATATGCTATATTTTTGCTGCTCTCCATAGAAGGACAAGTGTCCTTCTATGAACTATTTTATAGTAGCCAGATTATAACTTAAATGTCTGATGTTTAATGGTCTTCATTATATTAAAACACTGGAAATATGTATTTTACTAGACACATTGAGTATTGTAGTGTCACTGGTAATTGTGATACTGATATTTGTATAGATGTTGAAAGTGTGATGAACAGTGTGGTATCCCTCCTCCTGATCCTGGAACCAGACAAGCAAGAAGCTTTGATTGAAAGCTTATGTGAAAAGTTGGTCAAATTTCGGGAAGGTGAACGGCCATCTCTGAGACTGCAGTTGTAAGTTAAAAACTGAAAGAGGCTCAGTTTTTCAAGGGGCTCTTTTCATGTCACTACTTTTTAATGGTAAAAGCAGGACTTCTTGGACTTGACTGTTACCTATGGCTTTTATGAGCTTTGACCTTGGGCAGATCACTTAGCCTTTCTGTGCCTGAGTTCTCTCCTCTGTAATATGAAGTTATTAATAGTAACTGTCTGAGGTTTGTTCTGAGAGCAGATAACCTCAACTTATTATCATGGATGCTGTTCTCAAACACTGTTTTATTATTTGTTTGTTAACCAGGTTAAGCAACCTTTTCCATGGGATGGATAAGAGTACTCCAGTAAGATATACAGTGTATTGCAGCCTCATTAAAGTGG